TGAAAATCTTTAAATTATGATGTGAGACAAATTAAGTGTTTAACAGAATTTCGTAAATTCGAAATTTTTCTAATCGTAAGTAATTAAAGAACTATTCTAAGGCCTGATTTGGCAAGTTAAAATTATTTCACTTGATATTCCGAAATAACAATATTTACAAAAAAAAATTGCTTAATGCTTTAAATTCCGAAGTACTCCAATTGCGATATTTTTTATTAAATTTTTGAATAGCTAAGCTACTCTTGTTTAATATAATTAGTATGTTTTTAAAAGCCTCCTAGAAATTTTAGAATTATTTACTCTAATTTGAAAATAAATAATATCTCAAAATAATAGTTTAGGTATGTAAGCATACTATGCTATGTTCATAGTGCCAAAATTTAAATATTACACATTATTCAAGTTCCTTCGTCTGTAAGTTCAATTTTAAAGTTAGATATAAAAGAAGTTTAAGAATTCTAGCATTCCATTAAAGTTGTAAAACTCAAACTTCTAGTGTAATTGTATATTTATGTGATTATTGCTAAAATTATGCTCTTACTTGAAATTTTATAATGCTAGAGTAGTACTTTTCTAAATATTAAGTAAAGTTTTAATTTTTTTTTTCTGAAATCAACCCTGTATTACAGAAAATTTATTATATAAAATTATTATAAACCTGCAAAACATATTATACATTTTTATTAGTGTCATATTTTACACACTTATACATTTCCGTATGGTATCCTCTATACGTTGCTATAACATTATAATGATTTTATAACAGTTATTATATTAAGCTTTAAAATTTCTCGTCTTTAATTTGCAACGGGAAGTTAATTCGTATTTTTTTTTTTTAGTCAAAGTATAACACATCCATAAATTGTATATGACTGTATGTTTACGGAAACGTAAAATATAAAAATTATATTTTATATATTCTTACCGACAACATTCCGTACAAACAAAGGAGGTTATGTGATGGCAACAAATTTTGTATATCGAGTCTCTATGCTAGGGTAGTGTAAATAAACTATTTTTAGCAAACTGCCGGTCTGTCTGTCTGGCTATCCATGTATGTACACGTGTATCCCAAGTTCGGTTGAACCGATATAACGAGTCTTGGGAACTGCACTTTTTTGCGGGTCAATTTTAGATTTTTGGCCATATAAAGAGAAATGATCAACTAATTCTTTGAAATTTAATAATTAAATTTCGAGTGTCAAAACAATTAATATATAAATTTTCAGGGAACAATCAGGGCTCGGAAAATGAACTAGTGGCCGAATTTACATTTTTTATCACATGATTCATGAAATTTCTTGAAATTTGATATTTGAGTTTTGCTTGTAGATGATACATATTGTGGTCTATTATGTGCTGATCACATCAGATTTTTTGTAATTGCTAAAGGTATAAATGTAATTTTATTTTTATTTAAATAAATGTGCATCCTGCTCTCGACTGTACTCGTATTCATAGTTAGTAAAATGGGAGAAATGTAAAATTTTTTTAATTTTATAATAAAAAATGGGACGTGTCATTTGGAATTTATTTTTAAATACAATAATTTTAATAAAGCTTACAATTATAAAAATAACTATCTAGTAATTTAAGAAAATTATATAAATTGTATAAATGAGAAAAATTAGGGCATGAATTTTAATAAGAAATATTTTAAATTAATTGTGCGAAACCCATTAAAATTAGAATTAGAAAATTTTAAGGAAAAGATGGGCTTCAATGTAAAATAACTGGACCCAATTCTAAAATACGAGAATGATATAAATTGTAAAGAAAGAATTTTGTTAAGTGGACATAATTCATGTTTTTGATTGATTCCGTTAGAAATTCGATTTGTGAGCTTGCATTCCGTCATAAAGTGATTATTATAGATGCAATAAAAAACAGTTTTTGGAGAATCAAAATTGACTGTGGACTATTTCAGGATTATAAACAATAAAAGCTATTTTTTTCATTTTTCAAACTTTTTTTTTATTATCCAATTTTAACTCATTCGTGTCCGTGGATAGCATTGAAATTTCAGCACATTTCAAATAGGACATGAATGTTACAGTATTCGCTAATATATTTAGACATTGGCTATATTTTGCACTAAATAGAAACTATTTAGTCTACATCTTACTACTATTATTTTTTAGCGTCCGTATTAGCGTTACTCTTAGCAGAACTTTTATGTAACTTGCATTCTATGCATTTCAAAATCTCAAACATAATTATTTTCTCATCCACACACAAGATCATGCAAAATTTTAAATAATTTTTTCAAAAATTCATCTTTTCCAAAAAAATTTTTTAAGTATAGCTGACTTGAGTTGAAAAAAAAAATAATATATTATGAGTTAAGTCTCCCTTCAACTTGAAAAGAATTTATTTGGGTGCTAAGAAAATTATTGTTAAAGATCTTAAATTAAACTTTTCTACTGTACAACTAGACAAATCTCTTATCAAAAATGTGTTTATTTGATGAATAAATTTTCAAATAATATTGTTGATATTTTGTTTTTCTTTTACAATTTCTAATATAAAATACAAAAAGGATAAGAAGTGGAAGAAAAAAAGGAAAAGTTGAAGAGTTTTTAAGCAAATAAAAAAGATAAATTGCTGAAAATGCTAAAAAAAGTTTTTTTTATTCATGTTTTCATCTCCTTTTCATCATTCCTGTCTATTTATATCTTAGTAGCTATATAAAAAAAAACACAAAATTTCTATTTTAGAGTTACCATCCTATTAATATTTTGCAATATTTTTATTTATATTATGAGAATGTTATGAGAATAAAATTAAAGTTCCGGAAAAATGTGCACATAAAGAAGAAGCAACTCTTGTTTTCTTTTTTAAACAAAAAACTTTATATTGAATACAAAAAATTTTATATTAGTAATAAAAAAGTGTTATACTAAAATTAAAATTTTAAAATTATTGGCTATTTCATTGTTAACAGAGTTAAATTCTATAAATGGCAATAAGATTATACTAAAAGATTATAATGTTATTATGGTAACTCTAATTTTAATAAATTATCTTTAAAACGTTAGAAAATCATGTTGTATACCAATTTATATAATTATATAATATGGTATATAGAATTATAGAAAGTAAATTTAAAGCTGTTGTCATAGTCATTGAGAAAAAGAAAAAAAAAGGACGAATTTCATTGACAAACGAAAAAACATTCTTATGAAACTTTCAATAACATTTATAAACTATATATACATTTTCTATACTATACTATTATAAAGTTAATAATAATAGTAGCTAGCATACAATATCACTAAGTTTAAAATATAATAATGACGTGTATAACTGCAAGATTGCAATATAAGCCATTATTATTTTGTTTGGTATATAAAATTTTATTGCATTCTGACTCAATATTGAATTATTTTGAGAAAAAGTTATAAAAAAGTTTCGATCTTTATATAACCTGTGACAGTACTTTAAAACTATCATACAATGTATAACACAAAATATATATTTATATGTATATATGTACAACATTTGATGTAGCATAAAAATACAAAAATGTTCTCTATATTCTATACAAGTTTTTATGGTATAGCTAGGGCATAAATAGGTACATTATAAGTGAATATGTGAGAAAAAGTAATAATACTAGAAATTGTAACAGCGAAAATGTATTGCAAGTTAATAATTTGTGTACGTGTTTGAAATTTTTATACATAAGTTTATTTTTTTTTGTTTCATTAATTTTAAACTCAAGTATGTATAAGAGTAAGAAATGAATTGATAGTAAGAGTTTTTGAATAAAAAAACGTATAATATAATATTAATGTTTAGATACACAGGATCCTCATTGTAAAACTAATAATATAAGATTTTTTTAGTTGGTCAGAAGAATATAGGGTTAACATTTTGATAATTTACAAATTTAGGGTTTGAATATACGATTTTTGATAAAGAAGAAGAAATTCACTTACACTTAGATGGTTTTCGGCATATAGAAACAGTATTCCAGAATACTCATTCAAAATTTTTGAAGTATTGGTTATTATTCATTGAATTTCATTGATGGACAACCAATTAAAGGGAATTGTAAATAATTAATATTCTTGAAAAACAATTGAAATATTTAATTTTACTGGATTACTCGTATAATAAATATACAGCGTCGGATGTACCATATATGCAAAATAATTGGTGCATGAATTTTTGCAATTGGCATAATTGAAAATTTAATTTCAAGTTTTAATTCTATAAGTGAGCTTTTATATAGCATGATAGTGTTAAAGTATAATTCAGTTACCAAGAAATTAATTAATTATATGTGCAATGTGCAATTTTATTGCATGTTACTTATTGCTTTAAAGAGGGGGGATAGCATAATTAGAAAATCGTGTACGACACCTAATAAGTCAGAGTTGAGCCTGATTAAATATATATACACAATAAATTGATTTAGCTAAGCAAATTCGAAGTTATTGTCTCATTTTAATTCATTTTGCAGAAAATCGCAATGAATTGTATTTTTAAATCATGTTATCTAATTAAAAAGGGCTTAGTTAAAATTTTTCTATTTCATCATCATGTTTTTTTTTAATAATAAATAAAAATTTGAGTTATTAAAAAAATTATTATTTATTATTATATATAATAAAATATTAATAAAATTGCATATCTTCAGGATAAAAATATACAAAAAAAAAATTAAAGTTTTACGAAATTTTGAGTGTAGTTTGGACATATTACATATGTCCAATGTACATATACAATTATTTTTGAAAATAATATGACTTTGAAATTGAAATTAAAAGGATTTTAAATTTTATTTAAAACTGCATATGCATAAAGAATATTATGTAACAGACCGAATCCTTACAACTTCATGCAAGGCATGTACAATCACGTACCACTGATAATAGTTAATATATAGTTGCCACATAAATGACCTATACCATCAACATTATTAAGTTTTAAAAAATTTTCCCTTATCACGTTAAATTTTATGAATTATTACTTAATTATAAAATTTTACTTACATTTTCAATTAAACGCCGTATTAAGGTGGTCAAACCTGTAAATAGAAAAGTTAATATTTTGTTAATAAGGATTGTTATGAATTATTTTGTCAGTTGTTCGAATTGATTAAGCTAGTTTCTTAGAAATATAAGAAATGTCAATAATATTTTCTGTGTTGTCTTTCATTGAAAAAAATACAGCTTTCGGTGCACTTCTGTTATATACAGTGATTACTTATTTTACTTATTAAAAACTTAGGAAGTAAATAATAATATTGTATATACAATAGTGTAATTACCAAATAATTTTAACGATATATCTTAACTTAATGGAATTCCTTTCACACAACTGCAGAACAGATGGATAACGTAATCAAAGGAACAAGTTAAAAGTACAAAAAATAAAAAAATTTTCTAGAGACGCTTTCTTTAAGTATCAAAGAATTCTTTGCAACCGAGATATAAATTTAAACCGCCGCCTACAATTTATGAAATGCTATGTTTGGTCTGTCCTTTTATATGGATCAGAATCATGGACTTTAAAAGTTAGTCATATGAACAAACTCGAGGCGTTTGAAATGTGGATTTTTCGGAAAATGTTGAAGATATCTTGGATAGATCACATTTCAAATGAAGAGGTTCTGAGAAGAATGCATACAAATCCAGAGCTTTTAACAAATGTCAAAAGAAAAAAGATCGCTTACTTCGGGCATGTGATGAGAAACGACAAATATGAAATTCTTCAACTCATTGTTCAAGGCAAAATCGAAGGTAGAAGAGGAGTTGGCAGAAAACAATTATTATGGCTCTGTAATATAAGAAATTGGACTGGTATAACAAATGCGGGCGAATTGATACATCAGGCAACTGGATAGGGACAGATTCAAAAATTTAATATTCAGCATCATATGATCGCTAACATCTATTAGTGGATATGCAGTGCAAGAAGGAAGAAAGTATGAAGAAATCGCCGACGAAATGTTCTTCACATTGCTTTATACTGTAATCCACATGATCTAACGATATACTTATTACTCTATAAATATGTCAGTAAAATACAAAGTAGATAATCGTATTTCATTTTATGTAGTTCTACATACCTATATGGTTATTCTAACAATATGAGCAAAAATATTTATTGTTAAAACAAAAGTTTTGCTTGCAGCTCGTATAATTTCAATAATTCATTTTAATATTCCCAATTTACAAAGTTAATTTAAATAGCAAATAAGAAGATTTCCATATCTTATGAGATAGAAGAAAATCGTCGTTGTTACAATTTCTCATAATACTTGTTAAGATAATTTATTTTTACATTTTATTAAATTTAGAAATTGAACGATTAAAAAATGTTCTATAAATTAATTAGTTTACCTAAATATTTTTCAAATAATCTAGAAATTTTAAAAATTTTGGAGTATTTTTTAGAAAAAGTCAACAAAAATAAAATAATTGAAAGTTTGGAATCAACTTTTTCATTAAACGTCTCCGAATTCTACTATATAGTAGAAACCAGTTTCTTAATGCAATTACAATATTAATGGTAATTTTATGCATATCTGCATTCGTTTAATTCGAAAAATTTTCTTAAAAATTTTAATTTAAGTACAAAATTTTTCAAATCAAAATCAATAAATTTTTTCATTAGAATTCAACAAAACAAAAAAATTTTAATTTTAAATTTCAACCTAAAATTTGAAAACTTTTTAGAATCCCTATAAATGCAGGCATCTAAAACTATTACAAGAATTTAATGTTAAATAACAAAAATTACTCCATAAGGATTTTTAATTTTTTCTATGTTTTTTTGCTATTTTGCATAATATTATGTTTGAAAATTACCTTAATCAAGGTTTTCTGAATTTTGTAATAATTGAAAAATGGAATTTTTGTCAAAACAAATTTTTTCGAAAGCCAAAAACAAATTAGGAATCAAAATATTATACATTGATGTTATGTTAGAATATAAATGTATGTATGTATAGCTATATACAGATACAAAAACCAAAGAGTTCAGCAGAAAATAAACTTAAAAAGTCATTGTAATATAAGGGAGAAAAAAAAAAAACACTTTTTTATTATTTTGTTTCTTTTTCAATTTCAGCATACCGTTATTTCTCTTTATTGTCCTTTTTTGTAGAAATTTTTAATTTTTCCGCTATATAGTAATGCATATTGGGAATTTTTGAAAATTACAATTCTATCACAATTTCTTAAACTGTTCATAAGCAGTTAGGAATGATAGGAAAATGGTTGTGCTGAAATTTATGTATCAAATATAAATTTAATTGACAGAATTTTCCCAGACTGTATGAAATGACTAGGTAAATGACTAGGTACTTTTTCTTGATCTACTGACTGTATGAAATGAATGTGCAATTTAATCATTTGCAGTTATTAACGGTGTGTAGCATAGCATTTCAAATTAGTACTAACAAGTGAATTGCAAGTCTCTTACATCAGAGGTAATTAATTTTACATATGCCAAATGCATTTGTGTACCAGATAACAGTAAGAGTAAATGTTGAGCTACTGGGATTGTGTGGCTGGAAAGTGATGAATTGATTAATTCAATTTGGTTGTAGTTTGAGTTTCAGAAAGTGTAAGTTTATTGAATTTTTGATCCTATAAGAAGAGTTAATAAATTTTTTTCAGATGTTATTTAAAATATGTAGTTTAAGGCACAAATTTAAAAAAACTAGAATGCAACGGTGTTCTTTACAATTAAACCCCTACTACAATGAATAATAAAAATTTATCTTAGAACGAAATAAAATTTGTGAACTCCTGTGTTTTTGTTTTTTTTTTTTCATTTGTTACTAAATACATAGAGACATATTTATGCACAGTTAAAATCATTATGTATGCAGATATTATGCTTTTGTATATTTTTATGAATATATGAATTTTTTGCTATTTTACCCCAAAAATTCTAATATTATAAAAGTTGAATATCTTACATTAAACTAAAAGCAATTCTAGCATATTAACATATACAATAAAAACATACAATATTTATAAATATACGTGCAACACATACAATATGCGAACAATATTATTTTTTGGAATGTGCTCTCGTTCACATATGTTTTTGAATTAATGTTAAACTGGTATCTAAATAAAACCACTTGGCAGATGTCCCAAATGATATCAAGCCATTTAATTTTTTTTATTTTTTTTTTTGTATAAAAGAAAAAGAAAAAAAAAATATTCAAACCTATTCTAGGATATAGTCACATGTGTAATAGTAATGAAGAATATTATTATAGTTACATAAAAATTGAGAAATTTAAAAAAATAAAATAATAATTGGAAGTATCTATTTTGTAACACGAAAATTGTTCATATGGATATATAACAAATCATAAACAGTAATATTTATAATAGTGGGAAAACAAACTGCAGTGTTGCACTTAATTTCTCATGTTTGCATCGTACTGCATGCCCTTGTACATACGTTGTAATTTCAATAATACCACTAAATTTATGGCAATAATCGAAGATTCTATAATGAAGATAAGAGATTAAATGAAACGAAGGGTAAAATGCTCCTTGTGAGAGATAATCTAATTTTCTGAATTTATTATTAATAAATAGTTCAGGAGATTGTTGAGAAAACAAATTGGGTAGATTTTCTGCAAATATATTTTAAAACAACACTCACTTGTAATTTGTTATAATAAAACTAAGCTACTTTTAAATAGAAGATAGTATGACAAAAGACCTTGTAATAATTGTTTTTATGACTTTGTAGTACCAAAAAAACTGTACACTTTTTAAAAATATTTCCATATTAACAATAATATTGCCGTTCTTGTTATAATTTTTATGGGGTAATTCTATGTCCAACAAATTTTATGCCTTTGGGTCTTGCTAGAAATTTTTTATATATTTTATTATGAAAATTTAATGGTGACTCATAAAGCAATTTATACTGCAATTTTTTTTCCCCAAAAAGGATTTGTAAACACCTATGTGTAAGTGGGTAGTCCATGTAGCATAAATTTAAATGTATTATATATGAAATGACTTTACTATAACAATATCCTTTTTAAAACATACACAATAAAAAAAAATACAATTTTCAAAAAGAGAAAAGTCGTTTTATTGTTCAGTGAATTTGGTGATAATTAACATATTTTAAGATTTAACCAACAATGTTTTGTTGGTTTGTTATTGCATTCATTCAATAGAACTGTTCTATACAACATCTATACCACATTGTAAATAGACGAAATTCAATATTTGAAAATTACTATATTTTGAAACCAACAGCTAATCCTCAAAAGCATTCGACGTACAGAATTGTTCATACTAAAACTATAATGCGTCTTCATTAGAGTTTTAAATGTATGTTGTATAATTAAGGACAAAATGCATAATATTATAAAGTAAATATATATATATATATATATATATATATATATAGATGAAGAAATGTGTGTACTTTTTGTATTTTTCTTTTACAAAAGCTTTTCTTTGATAATTTTGTTACCATAAAAAATTTTTAATTTTTGTATACAAAGCAATTACTTTAAATGCATTATGGAAATGCGGCATTAATCTGCTAAAGTCGCAACATCAAAAACTGTAAAATGTAAATGAAATCCAAATTTGATGATCAAGATTTCTTTATTTCATAAAGAATAATTATTTCTGCATGCGTTGATGAAAATCTCATAAAAGAACCTTTACCAATACGATTATGACACAATGTGAAATACTTATAAATGGAAAATTAGAATTTTCTGCTTTTCCATAGGTTGTAAACCATAAAGTAATACAATATTGGTACATAATTATTTTAACATTTTAATAAAAATAGCTTGTAATAATTTGATGTGCCGGACTCTTTCTATTTGAATTTTATTTGTATCGCAGTTAATTTTATTTAATTTAAAAAAATTGTAAGAATAAGGAAGCTGAATGGAAGATGTCATTAAAACTAAAACTTTCAAAGAAATTTAAAATTAACTAAAATGCTGTTTTTGCAGCAAGTGAACTCCATTTTGCATGTAATGTGACTCAATGCAGTCACTCAATATTATTACATGAA